CAACACATATATACATTGTATTCACATACGCAAATACATATAAACAATATACAACACATTTATATATATCAACAATATATAAACAATGTACAACACATATACACAACAATATATACATAGATTTAATCGCGATTAGCAACCAACACACATACACAACATGTATACATGTATATAACACGGGCTGACGGATACATATAACACATATACATATACATGTGTACATATAACACATACACATGAGAAAAACAAGAAAAAAAAATCGTCACTGACCCATCGCTAATTAGCGACAAACACGTGAATTTTCATTTTATATTTTTTTAATACATATTCAAGGATTTGGTCGTGAGAGGCGAACTTAGTAACTTAAGTTAAAGGAGGGTCCGAAAGTTGTATTTTTTCTAAAATAACAACGATAGATATCGTTCCGTTAATTTTTTTAAAACCATTTTTCGAACATAAGTATTTTGAGGTGGTGATATATTTTCATCAAATGTTGGGTAAAAAATGAGTTGTTTCTTTGTAGTCACGGGGTGTTTGCTCTCCTTTGCTTGATATCCATCTACATATCTAAGATTTGTTCAATTGTCTAATCTAATCCATTTTATTTAATTACTCGTAATTTATGTTATGTTAATATTTTGTTTTCCAAAACAAAATCTGAAAAACAATTATTTCTAAATACAATTCAGCAACTTAATTTTTTTACTGAACACATAAAAGTAAATTGGCTAACCGGATGGAGAGGTATTAGGTATTGTATGCATTGGACGGTGGTTTCACTCGTCCTCTATGACATGTATCCATTATGTGTAAGAAAGGGGGGCTAAGCACCATTCAGCCCCCCCTACGCCCTCCGTCGCTGTCCGTCGTTGATGTGTCGTTTTAGTTACGAACACATGTTCGATGCTTGATAATCAGTCGCTAATTAGGTAAAGAGACTATAGTACCAAGCCAATAAAAGATACAAAATCACACAGTCTCATTTCATTGCAACATCTACATTCAGACACCTAAAACCTCATAACCAAAGAGACTTTGAAGGGTTCAAATGAAATAAAAAAATAAACATGGTATAAAAAGAACAATAAATACAATGGAGAAAGCAATTAGTGTTGTTACATAATATTATAGTTAATTATTATGTTGTTCATCGTCTTGTTGTTGTTCACCTTCCCATGTCCAAACAATATCTTTCAGAGAAGGCCTCAAATCTTGGTTACAGAAGTTGTTGTATTCCAAGGTGTCGCCGGATAATTTCTTCATCTCCACCACATGAAAAGAAGGAGCCACCTCAAATATCTCAGCATCAATGGCTAACTGCCCTTTTCTCCCTTCTTTGCTCCCTTGCAACCTCACTGTTCCGTCGACTGTTTTCATAACCCCGAACCTCTCCATTTCCGCCACTTCTTCTAGTTTCGACACGATCGCTGATGGGGGTTTTTTTGTGGTGAACCGAGCTTCTCGTTTCGGACCTGAATTACCAGTGTCGTCTTCAAATAAACCAGAAAGATTGAATCCTTGAGATAAAGATATGATATCAAATGCGTTCATGGAGGTCGGCTTTAGTGTATCGCTTGACGAAGAAGGTGAGAAAGAAGAATAAGAAGGTGAGTTTGATAATGATGCTTTTGCATCGTCGAGTTCTTTTAGGTTATTATAACTACCCGTTGGAGTATCCATGAATTTTATAGCGTTGTCGATATCAATAATACTTTTTGATCGTGTTAAGATTGTTTTTGGGACCTCAATTTTCTTGAATCCCTTTTGGAACCAAGGGTTTTCCATGAGTTTAGCCAATGAAATTCTTGTGCTTGGATTTGGATCAAGAATCTTTGACAATAACTTCTTTACCTCAGGAGGGAACCATTGTGGGCATTTGAAGTCCCCTTTGCTAATCTTTTTATACATTTCCATCAAATTGTTATCATGAAATGGAAGATAAGCTGCAAGCAAAACAAACAAAATCACCCCACATGACCAAATATCGGCCTTTTCGCCATCGTATCCTTTCTTGTTAATCACCTCTGGTGCAACATAAGCCGGTGTTCCACACGTTGTGTGCAGCAAACCGTCTTGTCTTCTAGACTCGCACAATGCACTTAATCCAAAATCCGTCACTTTCAGGTTGCCGGTTTCATCAAGGAGGAGGTTTTCCGGCTTAAGATCACGGTGGTAGACACCACGGCTATGGCAGAAATCCACGGCAGCCACCAATTGTTGGAAATATTTCCTAGCTGCTTCCTCTTTCAACCTCCCTTTTGATACCTTATTGAAAAGCTCACCACCTCTAACATATTCCATCGCAAAATAAATCTTGCTTTTGCTCGCCATAACCTCATAAAGTTGAACCACATTTGGATGTTTCACCAACCTCATAACCGAAATCTCTCGTTTAATTTGATCGATCAACCCCACCTTCATAACCTGCTCTTTGTCAATCACCTTCACAGCCACGCTTTGACTGGTTTTCAAGTTTCGTCCGTGGTAGACTTTGGCAAACGTCCCTTGGCCAAGAAACCTTCCTATCTCATATCGTTGCATCAAGATGGTCCCTTTCTTGGTTTCCATCGTGATTTCCTTGAATTCAAATACAGAAAAAACAAAAATGTCTATATATATATATATATATGTGTGTATATATATCAAGAACTGAAGGAATTCATATGACTTGATCGAAGGAAGGGATTGAAGGGTATCAGAAGTTGCAACCTTGCCTCAAATTAGGCAAAGCTGCTAAAAACGAAGTTTGGTCTTATGGTGTGCAGGAAGAAGAAGATGAAGAAGAAGAAGAAGAGATACAATCATATGATGAAAAGAAAATTAATCTATCTCATCAACTCATTTGATCATGAAAGAAGATGATATTTTGGTTAAAGATGGAAATTTGATGGCTATTAAAACTTGATATGCAAAAAAGGTTACCATAAATAGAAAGGGTAAATTTTGCAGGTTAATTAATGATGGTTGTTTGAGGTTGAAGGGAATAAGTCTTGATTTTAGAGATTTGTGGAGTGAGGAGAAAACGAGCAACATGTGGTTCTGAATTAGGGTTTTCTCCTTTACTCGTGCACATAAATACCAATCGTATTTGACTTTTGCTTATCTTGCCTTTTTTTCTTTTCTGTTTTTTTTATTAATCTGATATTCAATCCGTTATGCGAGTCGACTGATCTTAGATTATCATCTGTTTTGTGGGTAACCCGAAATCGTCGCATTTGAACCTCCATGGCCACAAAATGATTTTTATTCCTCCTTGGATTTTAGTCTGTAAACTCCAGACACTTTTTGACTTTAAAACATGAAATTTTGAAACAAACAAAAACTTATACAACAAAAATAGGGCACATATACCCTTATTTAAAATAAAATAAAAACAAGATGCCAACCTAACAATTGCTTAGGGAAGAACTATAAAAGGGAGCCCTAACACTATAGAAACCTAAGTTAAACCCTTTAGGGTGCGTTTGGTGCGCGGACAGGACAGGACAGGACAGGACAGGACAGGACAGAACAGGACAGGACAGGACAGCTGTTCAGCGTTTGGTAAGACATAACAGGACAGGACAAGACAGGTTAAAATGACCAATTTACCCCCAGTAAACCACCATATGCCATTGCCATCAAAGATAATTGAAAATCAAAATTCTGACTATGAGAGCTTGAGATTAAAACAAGATATTTGAGCACACACTCCCCTTTTTCTGATTATTCTTTCTGTTTGTTCATGTTCAAGCAGCAAAATTCAGTACTCAATCTGACTATAAGCAGATATTCAGTACTCAAAATTCAGTACTATAAGCAGATATTCAGTACTCAATCTGACTTGAACTTAGGAGACAGAAGGATGTACAACATGGGTTATGCATCATTTGCTCCAACAAGATTTATATCTACAAGGTCCACACAACAAACATGTTGCTGAATTTATATCTACAAGGTCCTAGGATCGATCAAATTTGCAAATGAATCAAGTAGCATAAATCAATCAAGTAGCATAAATCAAATTTTGCATTGAAAGCTGTTGGTCAAAGGCAAATGAAATTAACAGGGCTAAGCTGTTGGTCAAGTAGAATAAGAGTGAGCTAAAATGGAATAAMCAGTTGATAACAACAAGAACCCTAGAATCAAAACCCACAGAAATTAACAAGAAATTAACAAGAACCCTAGAATCAAGAACGAAAGGAGATGTCGTTCACTACTCACAGATCGTTCACTACACAGATCGATTGTGTACCTGGGTATGGAGAGAAGAGAAGCGATGGAGGCGATGGAGGCGATGGAGGCCGTCGATTGAAACTCGCCGTCGACAGGAGGAATCGATGGAGACGATGGAGGCGATGGAGGCCGTCGATTGAACTCGCCGTCGATTGAACTCGCCGTCGATTGGAACTCGCCGGCCGTCGATTGAAACTCGCCGTCGACAGGAGGGATCGATGGAGACGATGGAGCGATGAAAAGGGTTAGGTCGTTCTTCAACATTGTAGCCGGGTGTGAAAAGGGTAAAGAGGGAAATAGGGTTGTGTTCCACTTAGTTCCAGGGGGTAGGATGGAACACGCGTGTCCAACGTTTATCCAAGTTAGTTCCACTTAGTTCCATATTGGGCCACACCAAACACAGGACAAATGTGTTATGTCCTGTCCTGTCTCACCCTGTCCAGCGTACCAAACGCACCCTTAAGGAAGAAGCAAGAACTACTATACTTATTATGCTGAAAACTCTCGGTGTTGTATCGATACTCCATCGAGATTATAGTTTATTTGTAAAATCTTTATGTGATTTATCGATACTTTTCTAGCGAAAACGGTTCAATAATATTTGAAAATCCGTTGGAAAAGCCCGTTAGTGATATTATTTCAACCAAAATTATTTTAACAGGTCATTTTCGTTAGTGGATGGTTTTTCCAACGGATTATCGACGAAATTTGTCACCGGTGAAAACCTTCACTATTGTAGTGGGAGATTGAAGGCTAGGAAGGTAATGTTGATTTATCTTAAGATAATTCTAGTGATGAACATGTTCTAATTCTCAATGACACAATATTCCTGTTCAACCCATATATGTATATGTATATGTATATGTATATGCATATGCATATGCATATGCATATGCATATGTATATGTATACACACACATAAAAGAACAATCATATTAGAACAACAAAAAGGTTATGATTCAAGGTATTATTTCAAATATGTTTGTAATCATAATAATGATACATGTGAAACTTTTTTATTAATTCACATTATTAAACAAAAAATTCTATCTTTAAGAATTTCACATTGTGAATATTGAACCAATATATTTAATCATAGTCTTAGATGGAAAAATCATGTGAAATAATACTTTGAGGTACACTCTGTTACAAACCTAAAATTGATTAAGAACTTAGGAACTATCCATAGCGCAACACATGGCATATTCATCAGCAATATGGACGTATGATTCGTGACGAATGCTCATATTCATCATGAATGTGTGATACATGATGAATAACATTTTTAAATTCATCATAAATGTCTTATTCATGAAATATGTATTCATCTTGAAGAGGGACACACAACACGTCATGAGCTGTTTCTGTGTTTCTAAATATTCACTACAAGAAAAGTTCTAATTAGTAAATATAAAATTGGTCATCAAAATACGAAAATGGTCACTAATCAATGACAAAATTAGGGTGGTCACTAGTGACGACTAATCTAGTCAAAATATATCGTCACTAAATCGGTGAAAGTCGTCACTAACTTGACTGTTAGTGGCCAAAGTTAGTTACCAGCACGAAGTAGCTTACTAGTTGAGTTTACGTTAATGGCTCTGCTAACATCCTTTAAAGTCGATTAATGACGAAATATGTGGTCACTAGAATTATTGGTTGTTTGTTACCAAAAATATGGTCACTAATTAAGAAAATAGGAAGAAAAAGTTTGTCACTGTAATTGTTATTGCAATAAAATAAAAATTTACTAATTTGTAATGACAAAATTTTAAAATATTAATTCCAATCGTATAATGTAAAATGCTTTGATTCAAACTAAAAACAAGTTGCATAAAAAAAAAGTCTCATATATCGACTCTACAAAACTAGCTTAAAAGCTAGAAACGTTGAACCAGTTCAACCTTTCTTGTTAGCATGAGTACGTACAAGGAAGGTCACTAGCAACTACAGCCATCAATGCCGCTTCAACCGCAACTCATACTCGTACTTTCATTTCATCTTCTGAAGCCTCCTCAAGTCTTGTTTCTCAACATCATCAGATCAAATGATAACTACATTCTGACTTCTAAACAAGAAATAAAGTAGACACTTTTATCTTTCAGAAGTCACTAACCTCATGTGTATTGGATTTTTCTTTGATTTTATATGTATTTTCTAAAACGGAGCAAAAACATTGATTTTTATGTTTCAAAATTACTATTTTTAACAATCTTGTATCCAAATCATTCCCATTTGGTACCAAATCCAGATTTCTATCTCAAACTGTCACAGATTTTATAAAAATAGCAAAACTCAAGCCTTATCCATCAAAATCATCATTTTAGAGCTTGACTTTGAAAAGTCAAACTTGTGTTCATAATTGAACATTATTTCAACTAATTTTTGTAAATAATCCATGTTTTTGGCTAAATAACAGGTAGTCTCATCACATTTCTACAAAATAATTCCATCATTCATTCTATAGCTTAAACCCTAGTTGCAAGAAATAAACCAAATACATCAAGAAAATAAAATACCAACATTTATACCTTCAAATCTTTAAAATTCTTGAAATTTCTCTTCGGTTTCACTAAGATTTAGCTTTAAGTGTGTGAAATCACACACACTTTGGTCCAGAAGCTTGTAGAAGTAAAAATGAGGTGAAAAGATATAATTTACGTCACCTAATTGCATAAACCCGTTTTGGGTCGGGTTTGACGCGACTGGGTTGACCTAGCACCCATTTTGACTACAAAACACTTAAAAATTCATAACTTTTCGTTCGGACCTCCGTTTTCAATGAGGTTTTCGCCTGCGCATTTGTAACAAGATAATATATAACTTCCAACAAAAATATTCTAGAAATATCTCTCAATAAAAGGAGTTTTACGTATTTGTAACTTAGGTGTTATGCTTTCCTTTGTAAAGCTATGTAACCCTTTATATTTCTTAAGGATTTTGCTACAAGTCCTCATTAGAGCGTTATATTATCACATAATACACCTTGTTAAACACATAATACACACTAGTACACATTTAGAGGCATTTGATAAGCATATTTTAAAAAAATGTATGTTACAGGGAGACCCGATTCCGTCTACTGTGGCATAACATAAAGTAAGCCATGACTCAACGTTATTGAGTAGCGACATAAGATCACGGTCCCAGTGCCTAACCTCTCTCAAGCTTCCACCTCAATAACTAAAGTCCCAGAGCTTAACCCACACGAGTTCATCTCCGTAATACCCTGATCACATGCCTACTTATAAACCATAGAGTCATAATACAAGTCGATGGTCTTAGGACCCTGACCCCACACGAGTTCATCCCCAAAATACCCTCGATGACTTAATGTCAGCTCTACTAGGACACAACTTCTGGGCATGGGTCTTGGTGCCTAACTCTACACAAGTTCGTCATTGTAATACCTAGGTCTTGGAGTCCAATCCAACAAGAGAGCACCTCTGCAGTACCCACGGTCCCGAAGTCCAACATAAACAGGTTCATGTCCGCAATACCGACTACCATCATGCCTACACGACATTTGTCTCAAAACGAGGACATCAAGACTCCTCAAATATCAATGTGACTGACTCATATGCCTATGGATTCAATGCATTACAGCCTAAACTTACGTGACCCTAAATTGAATGACAAACGCACCCAAAACATGTAATATCCAACAAATATGGCATATACACATTATGCAACTAAGACTCCACATTGAGCCATTAAAACCGAATAAATGTCCCCAAAACTCATTTTAGTTACAATCAAGCCAGAAGGTCTCGTAAAACTCTTGACTACTTTAAATAAAGCCAAGGGTAAATCACATAAGCCGAAAAGGCATATTTTCCATCATTAAATTCAAATGGCTCATATAACATGAATAGGTCCATAGCTAAAACTTCTTTGAAGTTTCATAGGCAAAAGGCCCAAAGTTGTAAAGTTTGCATTTACAAAATTCCCACAATCCAAGGAAGGTGTTTATCAATTATATACATTTATGACTAAAAGCGCTAATATGCTACTACCACAAGTTCATAAGATGGGTGAAGTCCCCAAAACATACTAGACATAAAACCATGTTGATAAACACTTTGGTTTGTACATTAACACGAAAAGAGATCGTTTTTAACTCAACTACATTTCTCAAGAGTTAAAATAACAATTTATCTCAAAATATACTACTACTCAACAAAACTACTTTTTTATGAAATAAATATCCTTTGGTACTTAAAACCCCCCAATTAAATCATCATAACCATTTTCTAGGGATTTTATAACCCAAATATGCTCAAAGACATAAATGTTCATAAATTTCATCAAACATCAACCAAGCTGATATAACTGTGTTCAAACCCCAAAATAGAGATATTTTGACATGTATATGGTTTTGCAAAACAACTAGAATTCACCTTGCTAGATTTATGCTAAATCTAGGTTCCAAACTAAACCTTGAGCTTCTTTGACGAAAAGTTGAGATCTTACAAGTAGATCTTGCAAATCCTAACTCCAAATCTTCTCCAAAGATCTTCTCCACTGCAAGGAATCAAAAACATAAGACAAAGATGGAAGAGAAGGGTGGAGATGAAGAACACACCAAACCCTAGCTTACAAGGGAAGTAGATGAAGATGTTACCTTTCTCAAATACTCTATGATACTTCAATAGGATTTACTCCTCTTGGTTCATTCTTGAAGAGCTTCAAAAATCAAGATTGTAGCAATAAGAATCGGTGAAATCAACCAAGAATTGAGAGAGATATGAAGAGATGAAGAAAACCTCGAAATCTCGACTTAGAGCTGCAAACCCCATCCCCGTGACCTTGCCCGCGGCTTGAGGTCATGTGGGAAGTCGTGCGCCTCACCTGTTCTGTTGTCCAGTGACATACGCGACCTGGGAGGTTGCACGCCAGTCGCGGGACTCCAAAATTGCATATTTCGTACCCGATTCTCTCCTTAGAAGTTCCTATATAATCTATATAAGAAACCTTGTTAAATTTCCATCTTAATGGTCAAACGACCCCTGTATAGACTGATAAAATTTAAGATGTTACAAAGCATAGATAAGTAAAATAAATAAATAAATATTTCTTATCAATTACTTTACAAGTTAAGGTGGTAAAAAACCACCATTATGAATGATGATAATATTGATCAATCTTATGCTAATGGTTTGTATTCTAACATATGATCCAATCAAAAACCAAATTACAATCAAAACTTTCAAAATAACAAATTGAAAATGAAACTATTTAAATTGGTTTAAGTCTCTACAGTTCAAACTGAACCGAAAACCATTTACTAACTTGGGTGAGGTAATTGATCAACACAAATTCAGATCAACGTTCATTAATCTCTAACATGAGTCAAAATGTGAGGTTAAACTTCATTAAGGGGCCGTTTACCTAAATGCTTACCCGGTAAGTGGTTAACATTAAGAATCAACACTATAATTTTATTTTATTGGGTAAGATTGTAGTACATCAAAACATATCATATACAACAATTTACCTGTAAGCGCTTACTCGGGTAAGAGTCGTCACCCTCAATTACCGAGTAAGACTCTCCATCATTATCATCACTGTTACCGGGTAAGATTTTTGTCTCTTGCCATGTTCATCCGGTGAGAAAAATTACCCGATAAGTACTTACCGGGTAAACATTTAGTAAACGGCCCCTAAGTTCCAATTTAAGAAAGGTAATTTTTTTAATATCTAAAAATATAAACATGTTTTACATTACTATCTCAATTCTCAAACATAAATTTCTAAAGAAGTATTTTTAAAACTATATACATGTGTATATTAAAGTTATTACTTAAAGTAAAATTTGAATTAAAATACAATAGGTTGTTTTTAAGGAGTGAGTTACATCGAGGGTCCAATGTAGTTTGCTTAAATTTTAGATTTGCTTTCTAAAATAATTATCTACATTGATGGTATCTAACTTTTCAATTTCATTACATTTTAGAGTTCTTAAAGTGTCTGTTAACAACCGATAAAAAAGACAAATCAGTATTTGAACAAATTACACAGATCAAAAGTTTAATTCCCTCTAAAATTTTCACATCTTTTTTAAATTTTTTTATTAAAAATATTTCATTTATGAGATGCTTGTATGTTGAAGTTTCTTTGTTAGAATCAATAACTTTTTTATTAAGAAAACTGTGTTTTAAAAGTTATAATATTATGAGACATCATTAAATTGAATTATCAAATAATTATTAAAAAAAAATCTACAACCATTACTTGCTAACCACTCCCACGACGGAGTGGGAGGCTCAAAGATAACAATTTTCTTGCCGCCTCCGGTCCTTTATGTTTTGTTTCTTTACATAATTGGTCCTCAAACTTTTAAAAGAAATATTTTAATATCAGAAAAAATATCAAATGATATTTGGTCCAAATACATCTCCAACAACTTCTCTAAAATAATAAAATAAAAATGAGTTTTTACTCTCTAGAATGCTTCAACGACTTTGTTATTTTGTTCTCTAAAATAGAAAATAATGAAAAAAAACTCTAAATATAAAGAAATCTCTAAAACTTGAAAGATGGAGAGAGAAATGATTATTTATTGTTTTCTCGTCCATATGGTTTACAACTCATTTTCATTTTAGTCTTTTATTCTTAAAAGTAGTGTTTCGGTCTCAAAGACGAAAATAAAAGCGAATTACAAACCATAGGAATGAAAACCAATATTTAAATGAATAGAAACAAAATCTGTAACTTTTAACAAATCGTAGAAACAAAAAGCGTAATTTACTCTTATGATAATATAATTTATATTAAAATCTCTAAAATAAAAAATATGTTACTGATGAATATAATTCTTTTTGGAGAATTTATGTTTCATTTATTATATAAACACTATAAAATATATTAAACAACATTGTTTTAAAATTTTAACAAAATTCATATATGTTTTAATTATTTTTATTTTAATCTATTAACAAAGTATAAATAAAATGTTGTTTGTTTACCTCTTAATAGTTTAATTAAGAGGCAGTCTCTAAATCGTTAAAAGATAAATTTTGTTTCACAAAAAAAAATCTACCTTTTAATAATTTTAAAACCTTCTAACCACTTAATCATTTAACATCAAACCATTTAACAACTGTGAAATAACCCTAATAGTCACTCAACAATGATTAATTCAAAATTTAATTTACAAAAGGGTTGTAATAAAAAGAGAAAACAAGAAAGAGAGAGATGTTTGTTGTGTGTGGGGGTGGTGACCCCGTCCTAGGGGGGTAGAGAGAGAAACATCCTTCAATTTTCAGGGAGGGAGAGAGAGAGAGAGAGAGAGAGAGAGAGAGAGAGCAAGCTTCTTTCCCCCCTCTTTCAGAAAAGATGGTCGAAGAGAGGTTCCTCTGAGATCATCCTGAAAGGGGCAGTCAAGAATCATGCACATCTTTTTCTTTTCTAATTATTTTCCCATTTGATTCTTATTTTTTCTTGCAAGCTCCACTTTTATTCATAACCCATCATCATCATCATCATCATCTTTACATTCCTACATTCTTTTTTTCACCCACATTGATTCTTTCATTACACAGGAAATAAGCATCAACAAAAGAAACAGAAAAAAGAAATTGATATAATTGACTGCCCTTTTTGCCCTCTTATGTGGTAAGATTTACCATACCCTTTCTTTGTATTTCATCAATATTCAATACCCTTGTGCTTTTTGTTGGATTGCTTGCTGTTGTGGGTATTCTTTTTCTCCTTTTTATTCTTTCCTTGTTCTTTTTGTGTTTTAGCTTGTGCCATACAAAGATTCTTGTTGGGTTTCTGATATCTCTCTAAAATCTTCTGTTTTTCAGTTTCCAATTGAAACAAATTTTGTTGGGTAATGCCAACTACAGGAGGTGTTATAACCAAAACATTAGAAATCCATAAAATGAGGGACCCCAATTTGATCATGAAGTTGAAGAGGGTAACGTGTGATTATTGTATTAGTATAAAATAGGGTTTGATTAGGGGAATGAGAAATTTTGTCCGACTCTCTTTGTATAGTTTCCCATTTGTTATTTTTTGTGAATTCTTATATCGTCAAAGATCCCTAAAAGAAAGATTGTTCTTGATGTTGGTTTGAGTGATCACTCTACTCAAGAAGGAGGCTTGTCGCCATATAAAGCTGGCAAATTTATGTACCATTTTGTATAGAATCCTGGCTGTTGGCAGATACTGCTGCTGCCTCTACCACCACAACGTATGGTTATGTGCGCAATGGGGGGTAGATGGACAACATATAAACTCGGTTTATCTCGTTTCCTGCTTTTGATTCTTGTGCTAGTTCAAGGGTGTTCTTCACTTGACCCACAGGGTAAGTTTACAATTTTCCACCCAAACTAGCTGGTTTAGTTGGTTGAAATGTGGATGAATATCTATTAGTTTTTAACCTTTTTTAGGCGGTTTGTAATTGGATTCTAGGTCTGGCCTTGTTGGAATTTCGCGCAGGAGTATCTCGTGATCCATATGGCGCCTTTGGAACTTGGAATCCCGATGACCATGACCCATGCTCATGGTCTAATGTTCATTGTGTCGATGGTAATGTTCAAGTGCTGTAAGTCCATCGCACTCTGCTTTTGGCTCTTAGAATACATGTGTATAGGACTAAACTTTGTGCCCACAATCGATACTATGTCTAATTTCGATATTGAACAAATTTGCGTTTTCATATACTTTTTTATTTTCTTGTTTGAAAGGGATCTCGATGGGCTATCTCTGGAAGGAGTATTGGCACCCGAGATAGGAAGCCTCACTCATTTGAGACGTCTGTGAGTACCCTTCTTTATTGTATGTGGGTTTTATAATTTTTTTGTTTTCATTTACTAGTGAATTATAAAACCATGTTTGAGTGCTTATGTAGTTTTCTATTATAATCCCCTTTGGTATAGTGATCTATGACTTCTTTGTATCCATGTTTCTAATGCTATGTCGGATGTACATTGAGAAAAGAGTTCAATCTTTTGTGGGGAAGGATGTTATGTGAATGTTGGTTAACAATGTCCTTTATCAATGTTTATGGCATATATTGCTTCGCTTAGTAGATGATCATAATTTTTGACCCGAGAAGGAATGCAAGTAATGAATCCCATCCTCCTAGCGAGTCCTGGTCTTATTTAAAGAGAGTGAAATGATGCTATCTATCAAAAGATTTTATTTTCATGGGATGCACCAGAATAACAATCCAAACCAAAGCAAAAGATCCTAGTATATCCCGCACCAGTGCAGGGTCTAGGGGTGGGATGTACGTAGAAGCGTCATTTATCCCAAAGGATAGAGAAATTGTTTCCGTGAAGCCCCCCCATCTTGTGCACCAGAGTAACAATCATATCGTGTAATTATATTTTTAACAGTGATTTTATTCTAATAGACATTTTTTTAATTATAAACCATTATATGTATATATATATATAGGGTTGGATTCCTGTGAGGAGAGTTAAAGTGAGAAGCGTAAGAAGGGATCTCCACCCTTGGAAGCACATTATGATGAGATGCATCGAGATGCACTGAATCAATCCCCATATCCCTGACTTGCACTAGAATAACAATCATATTGTGTAAAGAAACAACTTTAACTTGGATTTTTCCATCAAAGAAAGTTGCAAATCTCATTAGATATATCAAAAGGGAAAGTGTTGCAATTTTGATAGGATTATAGTAGTAGCTTGAGACACTTAAATCAGTATAGAACAAACAAATATGAGGTGAATGAGTTCATTAAGAGCCATAATTGCATTAGTACCTTTTTATCTTATTCTCACAATCACACTTCCGTTTGATGCCAGTGTCCTCTCACATAATCAATTCGCTGGAGCTATTCCCAAAGAGCTTGGTGAGCTCACAATGTTGGAAGTACTAGACTTGAGGGATAATAACTTGAGTGGACATATTCCATCTGAGCTAGGACGGATGCACTCGCTAAAACGGTTGTAAGTCATTCCTTCTGTTCTCTGAGTTGTCATCCTTTGACTTTTAAGTGTCAAACTTATATTCATCAAAATTTAAAATCATCATATACTCATGCACTTTTAGCACCAATACTTTCTCTTTAATAACACTTTGTAGTTTTTAATGTATATACCCATTTTCACTCAAAAGTTAAACTGTGTGCATATCAATTTTGAAACTAAAAGTACTTCTTTTTGACATTCAAAGTCAAAGTATGATGACAACCCCAATTAAAAGTGGTTCCTTTTGAAATCAAAGGATGGGTATGATATTAATTGTCCTAATCCTAATCTTTCATGCATATGATCCGATTTGTAGTGGTTGTCAAGCTTTAGATTTGCTATTAATTGGATTTCGGGTTCTATTGAGTAGTCCAAGACCGTACTACATTAGATTCCCTGCTTTCTAAAGAGGAGATACACTTAGCTTGTGAGCTCCGACCTATTACTTTGCAAAACTCTAACTTAGCATCGGATTTTTTTACAATAACAAAACTAGCACTAGAAACCTTTGGGGGTGGTTCAACTGGTAAGACCTTGGGTTTGCTCCCTAGTGGTCACTAGTTTGAGTCTCCTCAGGCCCATCGAAGGTTTGCCTAATTGTTAACTTCATGGCCTTATGTGATTAGTTTAGGTGCACACAAACTGGCAAGGGAACTACGGTTATCCAAAATTAGCACTAGAACATGTTAGTGTTTGGCATACAGTTTCATGCAATTGCAATCATTCTTGAAAGTGTATACGATTCATATATATATATATATATATATATATATATATATATATATATATATATTTGAGAAACTAAAGATTAGCATGCTTGACTCGTTAAGTCCCATTGCATATGTTGGTTCTAAAACGTGCTGTTGGTAATGAGCTAACGTTGGTTACATGAATGCCATAATAATGTAATTGTGTACTCTAGGTTGCTATGTAACAACAATCTTGAAGGATCCATTCCCATGGAGCTCAGGACTCTCAACTTCCTCTATGAAATGCAATATGATGAAAACCTTTTATCCATTGTTGCCGACGGGATTGCAGGTCTAAATAGGAAATTTGGACGATGGTAAGAGGCTATGAATTCTTTTGGACATTACTCATTGTCATCATGTATTTACATCCTGCCTCCTACTTGAAACTTGATTACAATCCTCATCCTTGTGAGTTTACATAAAATGCACAAACTTTCTAGCGACGATCATCCAGTACAACTTTTAAGAAATTTCTTTACTCGGACCATGTTCGGCAACCATAAGCTAGATTATTTTTGAGCTGATTGAAAAAGCCTAGTTTGGTTAGCCATAAGCTAGCTTATAAGCTCGTTTTTCAAAAGCTACTTCAAGTAGTGTTTCATTAAGCTCTAGGGCCCCTTTTAACTTTTCTCCAAATTCCAGGGTTTCTCTGAATTTGAATGTTATCACTTAGTAAGTTTCTATTTTGGTGTCCTAGGTGTAGAGGAACCACACCAATTCATCCTGAACTTGGTGGTTCATATATTTTTTGTACATAATTCTTGATATAATTTCTTGTTTTTTAATCTTCTTGCAAACCTTCAGAATAATTGTTAGGTTGCGCAAACCAAAGGGTTATGCCCCTTATATTTTCCAATTAGTTATTCAACTAATAGTCATTTTACAGTGTTATCTAGCTTCATATATGACTAGTTTATTACTGTTATCTAGCTTCATATATGACTAGTTTATTAGCTAACTGCCAGCTTATCAGCTAGTTTGCCAAACATAGCCTTAGTTGTATTATAATTATATCATTCTTGATTTGAGTGATTGCTCCTGAAAATTTGTGCAGTGTATGCTGACTATGTACCCTCTCTTTAACCGATTTTTTTAATCCTGAACGGAGGAGAATATCTACTTAATGTCTCGTATTATGGCCAGCATATTGCAGGGAGGTTTTAGACTTGAAAAGAAAGCTGATTCTGTTCTAACACGTATGAAAGATACAGTTAATAATTACCTCAATCCATTACAACTGTAAGGAAGAACATCAAATTTATTTGCAGCTTCACGGTTCTTTTTATTTGTTAAACTCATGTCTTGTTCTTCTTTCTTTGCCTAAGTTTCAGGTTTGGCAAGGGCTCCTCACATCATTTCCCTATCAGTGAAAAACGTAAGTTGAACAAACACATGATTTTGTATGAGTTTGATTATTAGTCAAATGTTTAACTTATTGTTCAACAATGACAAATATGAATCTTGATGGATAAAAATCAATAGCCTCAATACCTTTCATCAATGATAATGGGGAAAGGGTAAACTTTCCCCTGAAAATTAGCGAGAAAAAGGAAATGTTGCAATTATATGGGACATAGGAAGTAGATAAAGTTTACTTGTAACTTAGAAGATATGAACATAACCGTTATTAGAGCATCCACAATGGAGTACTTATAGGAACCTCCTTTTTACATTTTTTCTTACCGTTTAAGTGCCAACTCAACAAAATAAGAACCTTCATAAAACTTCACTATGGTTAAGAACCTCCCACAACTTCTTTATGAGTCGTGTACTTTTCATCATCAATTGTGTAAATTATCTTTCATAAACCTCAAAAAGAAAAATACAATTAACTAACAAAAAAGTACAAAACTCAAATTAATCAAAGTTCATGCAAGTTACGATTGAAGAAGCATCCACTATGGTATTAGCATACAAGTCATTCTTGAACCTCAATAAGCAACCATTGTGGACGCTCTTAGAAATCCAATGATTCGAGGGACAAAATATTGTTGTTGCCGAAAAACGATTCAAAAATCATGCCCCTTTTCAGGACATTAGAAAGGAAACTAGGAATTACATCATCTTGAACCAAAGTCTCAACTCACATTATCTTTCAAAATCTTGGGTATAAGCATAAGCAATGATATTTTTTTAGTTTCTAAATTTGGGTCCGATTCTTTTATGCCATTTTATATAGTAAACAGATGGAATTAACAACCTTTTGTTTGAATCAAAGATGATTTACTGAATGCATCTAAAAGACATAGGGATTGTTTACCAAATGCTTACCCGGTAAGTGACCCGCTTACTGGGTGACTTACCTTATCGGATAAACATGGAAATGACCGAGAATCTTACCTATTAAGAGGCAAGGACCACAAGTCTTACCCGGTAAGTGAGGGTGACGAGTCTTACCCGGTTAGCGTTTACCGGGTAAATTGTTGCATAAGATGTTGTTCTGATAGACTTGAATCTTACCTGGTAAGGTAAGTGGAAGTGTTACTCTTATTGGTAAGCAGTTACCAGGTAAGCGTTCGGGTAAATGACCCCTTAGGCATTCTGAGGACATGACCTCTAATAGGAGTTCTTGGAGGCATATGACTAGAGTGGACGAATTTTAGTAGGAACTGGTTGAGGGCGTCGACAAGGGTATTGAGTGGAGTGCAGGGAGTAGGCAAATAGGCTCCTCGTGTGGAATAATTGTGCTTGATTTGACCTGATCTGACTTTCTTGCTTCAGACCATTGAATCGTGTACACACAATTAAATCGTTATTCGATGTGTTATATTTACTGATTACCTGTGGACCTTTGCATCGTGCACAGCCCAAAGGGTCTTACACGGAAACAGCCTCTCCATCCTAGTGGTTGAGGTAAGGTCAACATACATCCTACCCCTCCCAGACCCTACTTTTGAGTGGGATAATATTGGGTTCGTTTGGTTTATCTAAGACTGACTGAATTCTTGCAAGCCTAATGTTCTTTTGTTCTCATTCTTCGTTGTGTCTCTCAATCAGAACCAGAAATGGTCCACAATGTGAAGCAGGATGCGAATGTTGTACGTCGAAAGCTAGCCGAAGAGTCTCCAAACTTAGCAGCTGCACCTTCTCCTAATGATGGATTTGGGCCACCAAAAATCATAGCTCTGCCAAGTAGTAGAAGTAGCGGATCATTTCCTGCTGTACCGAAGGATAAGAAGGCCCATGCCATTAATCAACCACCATCATATGGCCTCGTTCAAGGAAGCCCCGAGGAATCATCATCAACTTCCAGTCAACCACCAACAAATGATCAGCCTCCTCAAAGTCGAATGAATTCATATAAGTGCAGGATCTTAATTGCAATATCTTGCATAGTTCTTCTGCTAATCATCGGCATAGCTCTCTGTTTCGTGTGTCGAACTCGGGCAGTAAAGACCATAGGTCCTTGGAGGAGTGGTATCAGTGGACAATTGCAGAAAGCTTTTGTTACAGGTGTTCCAAAGCTGAACCGGACTGAGCTAGAAACAGCGTGTGAGGATTTCAGCAACATTATCGAGGCAAAGGAAAGTTATACATTATATAAAGGAACATTATCAAGTGGAGTCGAGATTTGTGTTGCATCAACCACCATTGCTAGTCTCAAAGATTGGTCAAAACGTGCAGAACTTGGGTTTCGGAAAAAGGTTTGCTTTATTTTGGGGGTCCTCAATCAATCCATACATTTATGCTATGTTTGACAAACTAGCTGATAAGCTAGTTGTTGGCTAATAAACTAGATGACAATGTAAAATGACCTTTTGGAAAAATATAAAGTAGTTAATTGGGAAAAACCCAACTTGAAGTAGCTTTCAAGCATCTAGCTTATGGCTGGCTTAACAAGGGTTTTTCAATAAACAAGCTAACTTATGTTTTGGCAAACTAGCTGATAAGCTTGCTGTCAGCTGAAAAGCTAGCTAGTGGCTAATAAGCTAGTTGTTGGCTGAAAAGATAGCTATTGGTATAAGTTAGCGTATAAACAAGATGACAATGTAGGATGACCTAAAAGGACAGTTAATCAGAAAAATATAAGGCGCGTTATTGGAAAATATGGAAACCTCCCCGATACCCCTATAATTATTGAAACTCTATTTAGTAGTTTTTCAAAAAAACTAACTTATGGCTAACCAAATGCGGCTTTCTTATTAAGCTCAAAAAATAAGTTAGCTTATGGTTGCCAAACATGACCAATATGCGTTTAACTTGTAGCTAACATATCTACTCGTGAACTGTATAGATTGATGCGTTGTCACGAGTGAATCACAAAAACTTTGTTAACCTCATCGGCTATTGTGAGGAGGACGAACCTTTTGTTAGGATGATGGTGTTTGAGTATGCTCCTAACGGTTCACTTTCAGAGCATCTACATGGTGATAATTTGGGTTTCCTTTTAAATCCAACAACATACATTCTTTTAGATGATATAGAACTCGTTTTTTTTGTTACAGTTGAAGAGCTTGAGCATCTTGATTGGAGTTTGAGGATGAGAATCATCATGGGAACAGCATATTGTCTTGAGTACATGCATGAATTGAACCCTCCCATACCGCACACCAACTTGAACGCAACATTGATCCGTTTGACCGATGATTATGCACCCAAAGTAAGATTCTTTCATGTTATAAGCTTTATTTTTGTTGCCATGAAAGAGAAACTTAAAGAATTATACCAAAGGTTCATTGGCCAAGCGGTATCTGGGCTAATGGTAAATCCTAGCCTCTATGAGGTTAAGGATTCAAACCTAACCAAATGGATGAGCATGTTTGAGTTTTTCCGTATATAAATATTATATGTACTTCAAAAAAGTAAAAGAATCAAGTTTCTCAGGTTGCAGAGATGAGTTTCTGGAGAGATTTTGTATCAAAAGCGAAGGTATCAGCAGAAGCTGAATCCGAGCATTCGGAACTGCCACCGATCATTGATACAGAGACAAACGTCTACTGTTTTGGTATGTTAATGGTCGAAATCATTTCTGGCAAGCTTCCTTATTCCGACGAGCAAGGACCTCTTGGAGCATGGGTAAGACATCCGGGCAACGATCATGAAAAAATGCCTATTTGTCGTACCATTGATTAACTTTTCGAACCATCATACTTGGTTTTCGTTGCAAAGTACTTGTCCTTCCGTTAAAAATGCTGAAAAAGAACATTATAATTTTCAAGAATGAGCGATCTTGAACCAATTTCGAACAAAAAAACCTTTGCACGAAAATGCTAATTCTTGCAAAGTAGAGTATTCCATTTTCACAAAAACGATTGTTTGTTTGCAATAAAAATCCGAATACGATGGTCGTGGAAGTCAATTACTACTGTCCAATTGCTTACGCGTACAAAAGATGGTGTTGTTTTTGCATTTATGCATGTGCAATTTTTTTTGAAGTATATAATATTTATATATGGCAAATAGAACAAATAAACTCACACACCCTCCTCACCTTTGGTGAGATTTGAACCCTTGACCTCCTAGGATGCTTAGGACTCACATACTGCTAGGTCAAAGGCCCTTTGGTTGCATGTGCAAATTGCATCAAAACGTAAAGTACTTTAGTGTAATTCCAATTAATTAAATTCATCGTACCTTTATAACCTTCGTTTTGGTACCTTAAATGTGATATCTCAAATATTTAGATCAAAATACGTTACAGAATCAGACTAAAATACGTTGCATTTTGATGTCACATATGAGGTACCAAAATGAAGGTTTTAAAAGTTTGTTACCCACAATAAGAATTAGACTAAAGTATTTTTGCTTTTTCATGCAATTTTCTCTTTATGTAAAACTACTGATAAGATCAAACATGATACTTTAAAAAGTCAATTACTCATTTTTGGGGTAACCGTGGGTGTCTGGGCCGATTTGTGCGCACCTCAACTAATCCCACAAGTCTTGAAGTTAACAGTCAGACAAATCTTCGTGTGACCTTGAAGGGACTTAAACGGGTAACCTATGGGAAGCAAACTCAAAGTCTTACCGGTTAAACTACCATTTTGGTATCGGTAATAATCCATTTATTTTTGCAGGCTGCACAATATCTGAACGATAAGCGAAACGTCAGTCACATGGTCGATCCGACGTTAAAATCGTTTAAGCATAGCGAACTTGATGGCATATGTGAGGTTATCGAAGAATGCATTCAGCAAGATGCTCGAAAGAGACCGACAATGAAAGAAGTGGTCACGAAGCTAAGGGAAGTGCTAGCGATTTCACCAGAGCAAGCAATACCGAGACTCTCGCCTCTCTGGTGGGCTGAACTTGAAATTCTATCCGGAGAGGCAGCATAAAGAAACGATAATAGTTGTTCAAGATTCACGTCACCCTTCGTTCTTTGATGCTTGTAGATTTCAAGGAGTGTCGTTAGAAGGATACACGGGAAAAAGCATATCGGCGTTTGTTGCTTGTGTTGCGAGATTTGATCCAAATTTTTTTCGATTTTTCGAGGTTTTGTTTGTGATTTAAAGCAATAAGATGGGTTTGGCCTGTGTACCTGAAGTGTTTTCGCTGTAATGATGATATTGTTAGAACCAAGATTTCAAGATTTGTGCCGAATATGTATCTACTTTTTGAGGTAGAGATCAGTTATTTGTACATTATTCTCTTTTTAACTTCATTATAAGTCTTTTTTTATCGTCATATCCTTTTGAATGTGATGATTATATGAATGTGGAACATTTCTTTAAAGAAAACGACGTGCCAAATTGTTCGAGAACGTTGAACCTTTTAATCTTGTCACAACTACGACAATCCATCGAAGTTGATGGAGACAACGATGAGCCTTGCAACATCTAATTCACGTTGCATTTGATCGACTAGACCTTGTTCAAATCCAGTGTTTTCCATCCTGAAATATGAATTCGATGTCTTTCAACTTACGAGGTGGATCCATATATCGCTCCAACCAAGATACCGACGAGTTGTTCAACTCTAAAATGTGATGCATTTCACGATGATACAAATTTATGTAAAAACAATATGACATTTGGCTTTAATGAATATTTTAAATAAATGGATAAAGTTAAATAATCAAAATAACATTATAATTCAAAAATTTAACTACTCAAATCTTGTTATACAATTCAAACCTCTACCATCTTCCTTTTTTCAATTAAATTTTATTTTTATATCGATTTTTCCGTAAGATATGAATATAATGCATATTTTAGCCAAATAACCATTTTAATTTTCAAATGCGAATCTTCTTCTTTCATATATTTGTAATCATTCTCTAATCTCTCATGTGATCCATAACGTGAGGTAACATAAACAATACCATAATTCAAATATTATAATATTAAAATATTAAAATATATTTCATATATCTACTATTTTTCTTTTGTTATATAATGACCTTCAATCTATCATTTCTCCCATCAATATGAATGACAAAAACAACATCATAATTGAATATTTTTAATACTTAAATCTCATAATACTACTTCATGTCATACGATCTTCATTTTATGCATACATATATAGATATACATAGAAGAATCTCTCCAAAAAGTACATTATAAGCTATAGTTTTCATTTTTCACTATTGATATTTATCAACATTATGCCATTTTGTATTTAATTAAATAGTGTGTGTGTGTATATATATATATATATATATATATATATATATATATATTCTTTTTGCAAAATGTGGGCCAGTCAAAAATTATGTTTTAGCCAATTTATTTTGTATGATTAACATTTTTTTGCTAAAAAAAGGTTCACCAAAATGAGTTAACCCATGAACTCGGAGGATCGGACAAAATAAGCCAACAACATGAGTTTAGAGGATCGGTTAATAGGAGCCAACTTCATGAGTTGCCACGTAGACATCTCAACCTCCTTTCTTATACCCACTATTCATCGTAAATCTTTCATATCTCCATCAACGTAGGATGTACGAAACCCAACCACAATTCAAGAAATGAAAAATACTCACTCCTTAGGATGTCACATCATCCCTTGTAAGTTTTACTCTAATTGGTTGTCATCTGGTTGACTTTGATTTTAACCTTGTTTTTTCATTACTAAAATTTTCATTATTTGGATAGAAATGGTTTTGATTTCAACCATGCCTATACATTTGAAAGACATCTTTCATACTTTTGTATACATGTAGAAAAAATATTTCATAATTATAAGTTTTACCATCTGATTGGCTTTGATAGATTTCAACCATGATTTTTCATAACTATATTTTTTATCGTTTGGTTGGAATTGGTTTTGATTCCAACCCACGACTATAGATTTCAAAGACATTTCTTTTTCCAATCTATCATTTTCCTACCAACATGGAATAATCAAAACACACCACATTTCAATATTTGAGAATACTCAAGTCTTGTAATGTCACCTTACAATACTTGGTTGATCTTTTAATAAGATTTGTTTTATATAATAAATGGTGTTTTGCAAAAATAGAACCATAAAAATAAGACAACTCGTAAGTCAAACCTCATTAGTTGACACAATTATCATCCCATCCTTCATCAATTATTTCATTCAATTAGTCACATAAATATTTTAAAATTTCTAACTAATTAATTTATTTACTCAATATTTTGGGTCACATTTTTAGTAAAAATATTAAAGAGTCCTATAACATTATTTGTTTGTTTTTATATTTAAATTTTTGGATTTTACAAATCTTTAATAAACCATATACGCGATGTTAATTGAATACGATCAACAATTTCCCCAACACCAAATCGCCAAAATTTGTGCATTATAATTTATTTGAATCATATAGTGCTAAATTCGGTAAAAATAGAACTCACGTTAATGTTTTAGGTAGAGGGAAAGAGCTATCGAGCATTAACGGGAGTGGAAAGAACAATGAAAAAGATATTTCTCGAACACTTTATAATCATATAGTGTCTCAAGCTACGAAACAACAAAGAACTAGTACCAACCACAATGATTTGCTTATCTATATGGATTTAACTTTATTGGTTTTATGATCGTTGACGATGTTGATCACTTTGATATCTTGGCATCATGGAAAGAAAAATAAGGCCAATTTCTATTCTCTCCACCATGGCAAGAGACCTACTAAAGGTCCAAGTTAGCGCTGTAGCTTCAGAATCTGTGTTTTCTTTGAGTGGCATGGTGTTTTCAGGATGAAGGACATGACTTACACCGAAATCGCTCAGGATTTATGTTTGCTCAAGAATTATTTTGATAGCTACGACCGAATTCAAAACACTCAATCACTAGAAAAAAAACTTTTCTATGTTGATGAGGAAATAACCAACAAAGAAGTAACCATATATTCTGTAAGTACACTACTAATATCGGATGGAAAAATACCAAGTCTACAAACTTTTGTTTATAATCAAACTGTTGGGTCACTTATTGATTTGGTGATGACCCACTTATCTGTTCCTCTACCTTAGCAACACTTAGTAGTTATTGGTTCTTTGTATATTGGTGTCTTGGTACATACTTAAGCCATTGGCAAAATCGAAGACTAGCCGATGTGAAGACAGAAGGTCACCGATGCGGTGTTGTGGATCAACTGTCTATTATACWCATCAAGACTCCAAAGTAGCTGAAATGAATATTGAAAATATTTTGAAGCTACAAGCCGATCGAAGGAAGATATTCATAGACCGAAGATTGAAGATCTTCATAGACCGAAGATTGAAGATCTTCATAGACCGAAGATTGAAGATCTTCATAGACAGAAGAATTGTGAGTAGCTGCTTGAAGCTACTAATCCATCCAAAGAAGATCTTCCTACAGACTGACCATATCTCTGCAAAAGTTTGTCTCTGTAAAAGTTTGTCTCTGCATGAACAGTATTGTATGCACGCTGTGTACAATGAAAATGAGATATCAACAATGGTCAAGTCAACCCCTGCCTTCTTATCATCAGGTGACAAGTGTCCCCATGTATTAAATGCTGAAGGTAGTATAAAAGGCAGTGTGCTTCTCCCATGCACATAACTGGCTTTTTGAAAGATTACTTAGTGCATTCTCAAAGCAATAGGCTATTCTCTTCTACTCCCTTGCTCTCCTATGTGCGAAGAAATTCTAAGTGTTCTTCATTTCCTTTCAAGAACTCTTTGTGTTGTTCTTGTAAGTTCTTCTCCTTGTAAGATTGTTTGGGTTAGGTTTTCCTTTCCTATCTTCCGCAACAATCTTTTGTATTTCTATGTGTGTTAATTCTTGATATAAATCAATAAGAATTAAAAAGTTGAAAAAAGTCTGTGTAATTGTATTCAACCCCCCTTCTACAATTACTTTATGTTTATTGCCATCCCCTTCGGGACTAACAAGTGGTATCAAAGCGGCTACTTAATCTCATAAGCTAGATCTGCAATGGCCTCTTCTTCTTCCAACTCTCCTCCTTCTTCTTACCAAGACAACGGCACTGTTGCCAAGCCTCCCAAGTTTAACAAGAACAACTTTTCTATGTGGAAAAGTCGCATGACACTCTACCTTGAGGGTGTTGATAGTCAATATATCTCTATCCTCAAGGATGGACCCATTGTTCCTAAAGTATGGCTTCATCATGGAAAGAACAAAGACGAAGGTAACTCTTCAAATGATTTTGATGTTGATGAAGAGAAATCTGATTCTACTGGAAGGTTCATCATCAAAAATCCTTCTTAGTACAATGAAGATGATAAAAGAAAAGTTTCCTTGGACACCAAGGTAAGGGCTATCATTTCCCTCTCTCTTCCTGATGATGTCTTCCACTCCTTGGTAAACCTCTCTACTGCCAAGGACATGTGGAACACTCTATGTGTTTTGTATGAAGGAACCATCGAAGTAAAGAAAAGCAAGAAGATTGGCCTCGTTAGGCAATATGAGCTCTTTGTGCATGGGAAAGGTGAATCTCTCACTGAGTACTACAACAGGTTTAACAGCCTTCTCAATGATCTGAAGTTTCATGGCAGAGTCTATGAAATAGAAGAAGTCATGTGCAAGTTCATGGACTGTTTACCAAACTTCTGGGAAAATATTTGTACTTGTATCAAGACAAGTAAAGATCTTGAAAATATGCCTCTTACTGCTCTTTATGGAACTCTCCATAATTATGAGCAAACCAAGCTTCTGAAAAATGCATTATTGAAGGATCCCATAACTTCTTCTCCTGTTGTCCTTCTATGCAATGATACGAGGAAGCCAGTCAGTGAACCTCGTATCACTTATTTGACTGACATTGAAGATGATGTTGTCAGAAAAGAAGAACTTGCTGAAAGTCATGCTGATGATGTTGATGATGAGGGTGATGAACCCTCAGTTAATGACTTAGCTGACAACATGGCCATGATGGCTACCAACTTCAAAAGGTATGCCAAAAAGGGCTCTTCTAACTTCTCTCCCAGATCTAAGGTCACCGACCGTAGAACCTTAGATCAACCTAAGTCAGTTCCTCTTGATCTGTCCAATGAGGAGTGCTTTAACTGTGGCAAGAAAGGTCACTTTGCTGCTGAGTGCAAAAGCAAAAGGATCTCTAAGCGTCATCCTTCTCATCCCTCTAGC